TTGTTCGTATGTTAAAATCTGGCTGGGAGGCCCTGCTTGGCAACCTGCTGCCAAGTGATATCTACAGTATTCTGCGGTGACTTCAGAGACGGTCTTCTCGGGACTGGCCCCCTCCTTATGGAATGCTCTCCCCTCTGAGCTCTGACTGGCACCTTCTCTTTTTGTCTTTCAGGGCCAGCTGAAAACATGGTGCTTCCCCCCACACCCACTCAGGCTTTTGTAGGATGCTAGCTGTCGTTACCAGGTAATTTTAATGGGTTGCTGTAGTTATGTGCCTTATCTGTTCTTGTTTTATATTAAGATGGATGTTCTATTCAAATTGCATTAGCGTACCATGCCCTGGATCACTTGTGATGAAAGGCAGGTTGAAAATATTTTACATAAGAAGTGGAATACAGAAAAGGGAGGCGTGAGGAGGTCTGGGAAACAAGCAAATGAAAGATAAGTGATTGAAAGACTGAATTGTTTTTAACTATTTTTATTTTGTATTTTTTTTTCTTTTTCTATTTTGTAATATTTTGAAAATCCTAATAAATATCTTATTAAAAAAAAAGAAAAAGAAAATATTTTACATAAGCACTGTGAGAAGCTAAGACTGAGAAGTACTTTGGATCCCACTCAAGGACTTAACACACACTGTCATAGCGTTTTTCCGAAAAGGAAATCTGAAGCGTTTGCTGCCACCTTCTGACATTTTTAAAATATAGACACAGGCTTTGAATTTCCTGGAATTCAAAGCTACATGAGAAATGGGAAAAGGTTAAAAACCCAAACCAGCATGCTAGGTATATTTTGCTCTTCCTTCAAACAAGTTTTGTTTGCTGCTCAATGTCTGTGCTTAATTAGACCTGTTACTTGATTCAGGGCCTCATGAGGCTGAAGATCTGCTCTATTAAATTCCCCCTTTTATTACAAGCAGCTCAAGGCTCTTCATTTCCCCGGGTTATCCTCACAACCATGTTGTGAGGTACACACATCTAAGCAACAATGATTGGCTCCAGGTCTCACCACAAGTTTTATGGCAAATTTAATCCTGGGGTAGGAGTCACCTCACCACCCTTGTCAGCAAAGCCCAAGGATTTCCATTTGCATAAGGCTTCCCCACCCTCCCCCAAATTTGGCACTGGGGGTCTAGCAACCCCCCAGAACAGTACAGTGGTACTTCTAGTTAAGAACTTAATTCGTTCTGGAGGTCCGTTCTTAACCTGAAACTGTTCTTAACCTGAAGCACCACTTTAGCTAATGGGGCCTCCTGCTTCCACTGCGCCACTGCTTCGCGATTTCTGTTCTCATCCTGAAGCAAAGTTCTTAACCCGAGGTACTATTTCTGGGTTAGTGGAGTCTGTAACCTGAAGCGTCTGTAACCTGAAGCGTCTGTAACCCGAGGTACCACTGTACATGGGGAATGTCTTTCTCTCTGGAAAACTGGAATATTTGCACAGATGAATGAATGGAAGTGTGTTGCACTGAATCCCATTCTTGGTCTCCCAGGCTTTAGGGCACTTAATACCCCTCCACCTAATTCCACATTCGGGGGGCGGGGAGATGTAGAAGTCGTGGAACGGGAATTATTATTTCCCATGGGCTGCAAATGTATGGGGTCCCTTGTTAGCACCTTTAAAACAAACCAACTTAGGCTTCAGTCTACTTACCAGAGAGCAATTCCCACGGAAAAATCAGTGCAGCCTGTTGTAGTCCCCGGCTTGCCATTGTCCACTTTCTTTCAACTAGAGGCAGACAGCCTGTTCCATAGATTTGGTGCTGAACAGGATTTTGTAAAACAATTCTTTTGCAGCTCTGGACGTTTGTAAAAATTTAAAAGCCAAGTTTCTTTAAATTGCAATAGTTTACTATTAAAGCACATGTTTCATCGCATTTGTTTAAATAAATGTTTACTTGTTGAAAATGAAGATTAAAAATGCTCCTTCACAGGATTTTAAAAGTGCCTTTTGGAGTTCATTTTCCCCAGTTAAAATTCATTTTAAAAAGGAATTCACCCCAAAGGACGAAGTTCTTTTTCCTCAAGACTATATGGCCCAGAAAAATAAGAGGCCCAGAGCTCAGACAATTATTAAGGGAAGGGGGGGGAGGAATTCCAGAGTTGTCCAGCAGTCACACAGAATGTATTCTAATATGCCTTTATCACACAGATGCATTGCATAGACAAGAGGAGAGTGCTCTTGTGCTCATGTTCTGCTCACTGGCTTCCCATACACATTTGGTTGGCCACTGTAAGAACGGGATGCTGGACTGGATAGAACATTGGCCTGCAGGCTCTTCATATGTTCTTTATTAAAATTAGGTAAGGTCAATCAGGGTCAGTGTTCATTCTCAACACATCACTTTGGGCAATTAAGTTTTTAGTTGCAACTAACTACACTAATGTGCAACTTGCTCTTGAACTATCATTGAGCAAAAAGGAATTCTGAAATGTAAAATTAAGTGTTCCAACCACAATAATGCAAACAACTTTATTTACAGG